CCTCACTCCTAACTTCCCATCATTCCTCACTCCTAACTTCCCATCATCCATCCACACCAACCCCAACTCACTTAGTTTAGGCTTGGTTGTGGGCCCAGCAATCCTGGTTACACAACCAATATCAAGCACGTATAAACAGATACAAGAGTCTTGCCTTGGAGAATCTATGATTCAGAATCACAGGATTTGTACATTGTACAGCCAGATGTCTTTAGAAATATGGGGAAGAGTAAAGGCATAGAAATAGCTTCTTTTTGTGTGATTTCGTTGTTTCTATATTTTTATACCAGAGCATGAAAATCTGCTACCTATGTCTGGCAAGAGCACATTTTGGGAATGGTCTTTTAAAAGCTACACACTAGGAATGACTAATTTGTGGCGTGAGTCCCTGGAGATGTTTGTGTGGTGCACCGTGACGCTCTCGTGGCTTTCTGCCCAGGTTGCCCAGATGCAGCCTTGAAATCTCTTCTGGCACAGCCTTTGGCTCAGCCACACGTGTCACACAGGATTCTAACGTGTGGGCCAATCTCAGTTTGCAACACGGGTGCATGGTAGAAATGTAAGTGTGAGCTGAATGATGTGTGGGTTGTCTACCTTCTGACATGCTGCTCCTTCATGATTGGTCCACGCTATCTCCATGTCTGTATGTCTGAGTGTGTAAGCTTGTCTTCATGTGTACTTGTGCACCCACACGTTTGTATGTGTATATGTGTGTAAGCTTGTCTTCATGTGTACTTGTGCACCCACACATGTGTATGTGTCTATGTGTGTAAGCTTGTTTTCATGTTCTTGTGCACCCACACGTGTGTATATGTTTATGTGTGTAAGCTTGTCTTCATGTGTACTTGTGCATCCACACGTGTGTATGTGTCTATGTGTGTAAGCTTGTCTTCATGTGTACTTGTGCACTTACACGTGTGTAGGTGTCTATGTGTGCAAGTTTATCTTCATGTGTTCTTGTGCATCCACATGTGTGTATGTGTCTATGTGTGTAAGCTTGTCTTCATGTATTCTTGTGTAACCACACGTGTGTATGTGCATGTGAAGGGGAGAGGTCAAACTCAGGAGTTATTCCTTAGGCCTCTCTCACCTTGTTTGAAATAGGATCTCTCAGTGGGACCTGGAACTGGCATCAGGCCTGCCTGGATGGCCAGAGTTCTCCAGAGATTCCCCGTGTATCTGTCTCACCAGCACTGGGGTTATAAACACATGCCACTATGCCCTGTTTTCTACTTGGTTCCTGGGATGGATTTCAGGTTCTCCTGTTGGATTTCCTCAGCTCCAAGCTTTCCCTTTCCTCCATCCATGCCCCACCTCATTCCCCAAACAAGGAGAACTAACTTCAAGGGGGAGGCTAATCAATCATCATTTGAAACAGAATTGTAACACCTGAAGACTGCAAGCAACAGCAGTTTCTCAGGGAAATTATTTAATTTGATAGACTCTCTTTCCCAACCACCCCCAATTCTTGAGACAGATGGCTTTTGTGAAGGTCCCTCCTATTCCGCAGCCAGATGACTCAAATGTGTGCCAGCCTCTTCTTGACTCCTGGAGAAAAGTCCCTGGAGACCTTTTCCCTTTTCCATATGGCAGAGTCTTAAAGATTAAGTCAAATTGTTGAGAAATTATTTTGGGTAGGGGGAATGTCTTCAGACTAGAAGTGGGCAGGGAGGGAGGTCCTTGAAGCAGAAGCCACCATATTCACCCTCTTTAGATACATGCATCTTTGCAAATCCCATTGTCAAGGTCGAGTTTAACAGGACAAAGATGCTGAGAGACCTGTACTCAGTCTGTACTCAGTCAGACCTGTACTCCTGGACCCTCTGGATGTGAGCTTATTGGTAAATGGGTTGTTTTTGAAAAGTTGTTGAAGGATGTGTCAAGGGCCACTCCCAGGCTCAATGAGACTGTTCATGTAACAGAAAAGGACACACAGAGAAACCCAGAAGAAAGTTTTGGGACCAGAGAGCAAAGGCTGGAGGATGCAAGCACAAACCAAGGATGATTATCAAAACCCAAAAGCCAGGAAGGGATGAGAAAGGATCCTCCTCAAAATCTGTAGAGGGACAATGGCCCTGCCAACTTCTTCTGGCCTCTAGAATGTAAGAAATGTATTTCCATTACTTCGGAACGTCCCCATTGTGGACATTTTTTTTTTCACACTAGTACATCTTTCAAATGACACAGCTGGCCCCAAAGCCACACTCATGCTTGGCTCTTGAATGCAAGGAAAGCCATTCCAAGACAGCTGGTTAGCCATACTACAGGCAAGGACACCAAGACAGCTTTGCTTGCCGCACAGCATTGGGAAATAAAGGCGTGGCAGACACGTTGATGCTGGAAAGAGGGTGAACTCAGTCTCTTGTCAATCTGCTATAAAGCTCAGAAGGTCTGAATGGGAACTGAAGGCCATGGCAGCTGTGTGGGCTCTAGCAGCTGGCAATCCCCAACACCCTAGAAAAAAATGGAGGCAACTATGAGCTACCATGTGCTAGAAAGCAATTAAACATAAAAACAGGTTGTGGATGTAGTTCAGTTGGTAGAGGGCTTGTCCTCGGCATACATGAAGCCCTGGGTTCTATCCACAGCAGTGCATAAACTCCAAGCTTTAGGGAGGGGGAAACAGGGCCATCTTCAGCTACGGAGTGAGTTTAAGGACAGCCAAGGCTTCGTGAGGCCTTGGCTCAACAACAAACAAACAAACAGCACTGTGAAAATCAAGACCAAATGGAAGGTAGCCGGTGAGGTTCAGCCAGTTTCACATGGCTCAGAAGAGCAGATCACCCATGTGTTTCATCACCAGGTACTATATTTCATGCCTGGTTTCACTGGTCATGAGGAGTTAGTCAGTTGGACACTCAGCCTGAGAAAACAGCCCAACAATTAATAGCTGGGAAGGAAACTTTTCTTTCCATTGTCTGATGTATTTTCCAAGGCACAATTTCTTACTGTGTTCTGAGAGCCACTTAATGCAGCCTGTATTTCGTATTTCAGCTTCAGGGATCAAAAGGCCCTTGCATTTCTCTCACCCTTTCCCTGACCACAATTATTACTGGAAATAAAAGAAGAACCATCTGCTGCCTGTGATGGGTGCTTTCATTAACCTAACCAGCGTGCCAAGAAACCTTTGTCCCCTTTGGAGAAAAATACATTTCCCAATTTAAAAAGTCCTTGTTATGATGATTTAAGTTTCTGTCCCAGTGTTTATTCCTTTTTGCTGGCTAGAGAAGAGGCATATTTCTCCTCAGAGGACTGATAGACTCCAAACTCAACAGTCACCTAGTGTTTGGTGTTCCCTTCTGCTGTTCTGGGGTTTCCCAGTTAGGGGCATGGTGCTGAATCCATCAAGAATAGAGGGATCGCTGGGGGCTATCCTGAGAGGTGGATTGTAGAGCATCTGATGCTAGGATTCTTCAGTGGGCTGCATTTCCTCCTCTTCTCCAGTGCTAAGCCTGTCAGATGTAATAAGTATGCCGCTTGGTCCCTAGAACTTCTATGTGAGCAGTTCAGAGGCACCGGGTGACATTTGTCTGCAGGCTCCAAGCTAGCCCATGGCCATGTAAGGTGAAAGTCATGGGAAGGTGGGGGCTTCTGGTCTTAGTGTGCAGAAAGGCAGTGCCTTGGCTTCCAGATTGCCACGGAAAGAATCTGCCCATCCACAGAGGTGTGACTGTTACCGACACTGATGTTGCTGGATATTTTACCGTGCACACATCGCATGGCTGATAGACTTGGCTGACTCTTGCCATGTGTTAACTGATTTCAAGACTGGCCATTTTGTATTCTTTTGATATCAACTTTGAGTGTTTTGCTTATTGGATTCAGAGTTTTACTGGGTAGTCCAGAATGGCCTCAAACTCACACTCTTCCTGCTTCGGCTTCCCCGGTGCTGGAAACACAGGTGCGTACCACTATGGCAGCCCCAAACTTCCCTCTCAGTATTGTGTCCACATCACCATGTTCCTTTTGGTTGTTATAACCTTGATTTGTTATCAATCAAATAGAGGCCATGTGTCCATGGCTGGTGCAGATTCAGCTATCGATTGCCCAATAGAGAATGAAAGGTTCAAGAGCTTCCGGGGACTGGGTACAGAATGGCCAGTGCCCTGCATTAAGAGGTAGCAGCCCCAAGGCGCATCCTGAGTTCAGGGATCCTTGTAGGGCAGGGCTAAAGGCACCTCCAGGGAAAAGCGCATCTTTACTTCACTGTCTTCTCTTGCCCTGTCCTTTTCTCTCCCTCTCTCCTCCTCTATTGTCTTCTATCTGCTTTATTAATGAGGTTCACAAGAACCCCCACTTTAGCTAAAAAAATAAAATAAAATAAAATAAAATAAAATAAAATAAAAGGATTCCACAGCCAGACTGAGGCTTGCAAGCCATTTTTCCCTCATTCATTCCTTCCTTCCTTCCCTCACTCACTTTTCATCCCAGTTGCTGCCATCCCAATCTCCTTCCGGTTTCCCCCCACACAGTTCCCACCCTTCTCCTCTGAGAGGCTGGAGCCCCTTCCTGGGTATCCCTCACCCTCACCCATCAAGCCTCTGTGAGGCTAGGTGTGTCCTTTCCCACTGAGGCCAGACAAAGCAGCCTAGTTAGAGGAATGGATCCCACAGACAAGCAACAGCTTTAGGGACAGCCCCGCTCCACTTGCTGGGGGACCCACATGAAGTCCAAGCAAGCCGGGTTTTTATTACCTGAAGAAGGTCGTTCTGGTGATAATGATTCAAGTCACACTCTTACGGTAGAGCCAGGGCCATGCTGACAAAGCAAGTCCACAGACAGCTGTGTCTTCCCACCAGGGCTGCAGGTACTGGGGCATAAACACCCTGATTTCAATTCCAGATCTGAAACAAAGAGGGCAGACAGTCTCTTCCCTGAGTTGACTGACCTTAGGGCCTAGTAATTCCCTTGAGAGTTTTGTGCAAAAGTCCAGGACCAGCAAAAGATAGAGACTAGATTCTGTTTACGGTATCTGTGCTAGAGATTTATATCCGCCCATGGGTAAAATGCTTCCAAGTGGAACTGGAGAGATGGCTCACTGGTTAAGAGCACTGACTGCTCTTCTAAAGGACCCGGGTTCAATTCCCAGCATGCACATGACAGCTCACAATTGTCTGTAACTACAAGATCTGACGCCCTCACACAGACATACATGCAGGCAAAACACCAATGCACATTAAAATAAAATAAAATAAAATAAAATAAAATAAAATAAAAGTTCCTGACGGTGCAGCTTCACAGAACGGTGCAGAGCACTGAGGTAGAAGAGATAAAAAAAAAAAAATCAAATAACAACAAAAAATCCCTAGGATGATATCCAAGAGAAGCCTTCTTACAAAAGTCAAAGCTATGATTTATAACAGGCATTAGTTTTATATAATTACTGCAATATTGATTGCACATTCAGCGATTCAGCGATATGCTTAAATTAAATTAAAGACAAGTCAAGCCTGGTAACAGCTCCAGAAGAATCTTATTGAGGACACTTCCCATTCAGAGCTTTTCCACAGTCATTTGACGGGAGCTTACAGGGTCTTATGCAATGTATTGAGCGCTGATTTTAATGCTTACAGAGCTGTTGTACCCTTTCTCCTGACTGAGGGCCTGAGACAGAACCACAGAACGATGTCAGCTCCACAATTAGAACATAAGACAGAAACAGGCTAGCGGCAAAAATAAATCCTACGGTCAGTGTCTGGAAAGTCCTCAAAGATGAGGGACTGGAAGGAAGGGGAGGATCTTAAACAGGAAACGATCCCAGACAAGTCTAGATGGAAGACACTTTGAGGAACAACATGCGAGCTTTATTTTTTAGTAAATCCCAAAGGCACTGGATTCCAAATTCTCACAGGCACTAGAGAGACAGCTCAGCGGTTAGTAACACATTCTGTTCTTCCAAAGAACCGGAGTTCAGTTCACCCACAAGCAGCATCCAACTGCCTGTAACTCCTGTTCCAAGGGAAATGCAACGCCCTCTTGTGGCTGAGACAGGCACCTGCAGTTATGTGCACAAACCAACCCA